TAATTTTCCCTTTGGGGCCCCGCCCTGGCCCCAGGGGTTGGGGTAGGAATCCCAATTTTACAATTTTGAAGCCTCATCTACCAAGGATGATTCTGACCAAGTTTGAAAAAAATCCATCCACTGGTTCTTGAGAAGAAGTTGAAAATGTAAAAGTTTACGCACGACGCACGACGCACGACGGACGACGGACGACGGACGACGACGGACGAAAAGCGATTTTTGAGCTTTGCTCAAGTGACCTAAAAATAGTAATAAACTTCAAAATGCGTATTTTTTTCAAAATTGTAATTTAATGTATCAAATTGTTGAGAGTGCAAAACATAATCACAATATGTAATAGAAGTGTCACACACAAATAATGTTTAATTAATGCCGTGATATCACAACAATGTCAATGCAGAATTGAGTAGGGGGCCGAACTATGTTGACTTATGTGTATGTACATGTATATATCACCAGAAAGGGGCGTACTTGTCATTTGCATATTTTTTTTACAAACAAATATGGAACAAGTTCTCTTTTTAACTTATATATAAATCATTCCTATTGGTTGGGATGGAAGCGCGTAAGGGAAGGAGGGGAGGGGGGCCCGTAATATGGAAGAAAACAGGAGAACCATAAAAACCCACGTGGGTGGGTGATGACTTTTTTCAAGTCAATAAGGAGAATCGAACCTGTGAGTTTTGATGAAAGGCGAGTGTTATTTATGCTGCACCACTTGACCGTCCTTGGTGATTTGATTATATTGGAATCAAATTAACAGCAATGATCAGAAAAGAGAAACGAAATCCCAGTTCCCGATCACTACTGGTCAGTCTAACCACCAGTGCAGCTACAGCCTCACTTCATTAGTTTTATCACCTCCTTGAATAAATGTTTCTGTCACGGATGCTGTGGTTTCGTATGTCTGAGTTTTGTCAAAAGTTTTACCAAAATGTTTCACAGCGTATCTGGTAAAACCGACCAGAACAACGTAAAGTAATAGAACCAGGAATCCTTCTGCAACAAATCCATAGCACAACCATATCTCACCAAACGCCTCCATGATGTTTCCCAACATTACCGGATTGACTGCCGCGCCGAAACAAGCGGAAATCATAAAAAGGGAAGAAATTTTCCCGGTCACCGGGGTAATATATTCATTTATCCATGTAAAGATCAAGGAAAACACCATAGCTCTGAAGAAACCGTGAACACAACAAGAAATCCACATGCCAATCTCGTAATAATAAATGGAACTGATCAAAATGCCTACAAAGGACAAAAACACGAAGCCGCAATTGATACCAGCGTACACCAACGTGTTAACACACGTCATCAAAAATGACATAATTACAGAAACGATGCCACAGATATTGGTGATGGAGGTTATTAGAGCGCCATCTGCCGGCGTCCATTTGAGGTAATCCACACAGAATACAGTAAGATAGGAAACAAAAGCTTCTCCGATCCCGACAAAAAACAGTAGGAGCCCACTGGCCGTGACCAGACAACAGCCTTGTACTAAAGCAGGAAGTTTTCTAGAGCTACGTCCTGACTTTAACTCAACTTCCGGTTCCGCTAATTCCTTGGTCATGGCAATTGGTTTCGACTCGTCTTCCGGTTCTTTAGTGTCAATTTGCCTAGTAATGTCTGTACAATTATCTTGTTTATATACGAAGTACAACACTAAAAATGCTATCGATATACACAAAATTAGAATAGCGGTTAATGAATAGGGTATATATATCATCGATCGGAAAGTTACAGGTGAAGAGGGCGTGGTTGAGGCAAAATCAATTGTTTCTTTAGTACGGTCAACGTTAATTTGCTGTGACGGACCGGGGACAGAATTATTTAAAGATTCATTATAAAAGCTAGGTAGGTAGGTTTCTGTGGTGACGTTGATTGGTGTATCTCTGTTTGCTGGAATGTCCATCAGAAATGGAGCGGCTACCAATGGCGATGCGAAGCCCCCAATACAATACATTAGTTCCAGGCAGAAGAACAGTAAACGCTTGTTTTTCCATATAAGCAGAATCTCAGAATTGCCAACTGCAAGAAAAACACAAAATCATGTACTTTCAGAGATTTATATATTATAGTCTCGTATGCTTGTGATTATATTATCTATTTTCCTTTGAAAGAACTTGTTTCTTTATTATCGACCATATCGATATATAACATTGTGATAATTCAATGTGGATTCGACAGAAGGCGGTATGCTTACTCTTGGAAACATAGACTTGGAGGCATTTTAAGCTATCGCAGAGGGATATATTTTTCCGGTCATGATTTAACATCTGAACAGAAATTCACGAAAACCGTAATATTTTTTCACATAATAAAAATGTCTGTTCTCAAACCTTGTAATTTCAAGTAACTGTACATGGAAAGTTGAACTTAGTTTCGTGGCTTCTGTTTTCTCTCCAACAAAAAAAACCCATTTCAGACTCAAATTAGATTTTATTTCCTCAGCATTTTTCTTGAGGGATGCCGGGATTCGCTCATGTAACATTGTACCCTTTGACGTTTGGTAATAAACAATTCCTATGTGGGTTTCAATCATTTTCTAGTTAGCGTCAACACTGGTAGTAGCAAAGAAACAATAAGACCTATACTTATCCCGATCACTTAAAATCCTGGAATATGGATATTTTATTTTTCTGTGATAATTATTACTGCTTTTTATAAATGTATGTGATTATCTCCCTTTACTTGTAATACAATATGTTATTGTTATTTTACTTATATTTGTCGCAATATTAGCCCTTAAGAGCTAATGTTCCTTGTTTACCTGTATGCGACGTTAATAAAGTTGTCTTGTATCTTGTTCTTGTATCTTGTATCTTGTACCTATCTCGCAAAAACATTCCTCCTAATAGGTCGGCATATGGAGAAACTGTACAGTTAACTTTTGAGTTATCTTGAACCGAGTATGCTAAAGTATGTTTAGTCTTGTAATGTCTTGAACTAATACAAGTGGATCATGTATGTGGTACTTACTGGTATCTACGACTCCCTGGCAAAATCCCTGTACCACGTGAGCAGCTATCATTACTCCAAACACAACACACCAAGGGGTTACGGCAACACATATCGTTAATATGACTAAAGATATTCCGAATATCAACTTCCGGTTCAATCTTTCTAGCAATCCACCAGTTAGTGAGCCAAACGTGTAGCCAATGAAAAACGTTGTAGGAATCCATGAGCCCAACTTTAGGTTTACCTGACAGATATGTTGAATATCAGGAAAAGAGGGGCCAAACAGACCACGGTTCCAGCCCTGTACAAAAAGGGAAATAATCGGAGAAGTCGGCATTATGTTGCTGGTACGTTTGTATTAATGCAAATTCAGAACCAAATTATATCGTTTCTATTCTAATGTTTGATTTCAAATTTGTTATTACTTTACTTAATGTCTAGTGGATTTGTAGCGAGGCTGATAAATGTTCAGATATATTTGACTGTAATGTTTTTTTCAAAATTAAATAGTTACTTACAATCATGAAAAATGTACCGTAGATGCAGATGGAATATAGTACTTTCTGACGAGAGGCTTTTTCGGGCCTAATAGGGTGAGTTTTCTGGTCTGTACCTCCGTCCATCTATATTTCCTGAGTGATGATCTTGTCCATATTTCGTGTTGCCGATTCCCATTTGATCCAATTCCCTATCCACTTGTCTTATTTCTAAAAAGAGGAAAAAACAAGGTTGCATGGCTATTATCGAGAAATATACATACACGTGAATACAGTTGTACACAAGCTGTTGTCAATCAAATCAATCACTCTATCGACATCGCTCATCAACACATGAAATACGCACTGGCAGATTTACGAACACTATTTACAGTCACCTTGCAGGAAATCTACTGTTTAAATAGAAACCTTTTTCGGATGCTGTGTACAGCATTCACTGCGGTCCTCGCCATGCCTGGGCAAATCACAACCAATCAACAGACTTTCTTCTTCCGCGGAAGATCTTTAAATGCTGTGTTGATTTTTTTATGGTTTGATTAATGCTAAAAAAAAAAAAAAAAAAATCACGAAAAGGCGAGTTTTTTCAGTGAGCATCATGAACTATATCAATCTCAGATTACCACGCTTTTTGGACCGAACAATTTATCACAAAAAAAAAAAAAAAATCTCCTTCCGCGAAAGATTTTTAGATAATGTGATCATTATTTCATGATATATCAATGCTATAATATGGTGAAATATCTCTGTTTAAGACAAACAAAAATCAAAGAAAATATGTAAAGATCTTTAACAGTGGCGTTTTTAATCAGTAAAAGTACCAAACTATATTTGGTTCAAATTACTACGCCTCGTATTTCAATATTCTAAAGTGTGTCTTTAAAGAGTTTTTTCCCCTTGTCGATCATTGCGAAGTTTCATGCTCGCGACTTGTTGAAAGACTGTTTGATAACTGTCCTTGATAAAGTAGGCTTCCTGTTTTCTCTGTCTCAATGGAAAGTACCAAAGTGAAAGAGCTCGTGAATGTTGACTTATATACTAAAGTAGCCGTCAGCAGCTGTGCCTAACGAGTTTATAGATAGCTTCCAAAATGCGACAGCAGCTGTGCCTAACGAGTTTGTAAGATTGATTCCCAATACAGTCTCTAGATAATCGCCCGATTAGTGTAATACAAGTGTTTCGTGAATATAGCATATTAAACATAAAGAATTAAAACCTTATATAAATATTATTCCCATTAACCAGAAACTGAGGTCTTTAACCTTCGTTACAATATCGAGAGAAGGAGATATGCATAAGTCCGTGAATACACGCACTGGAAATAGTACAATCTCGTTTTAATTTTTTGTAAAATTAATCATGATAAAAACAAATTGTAATAATAATATTAAAATTATTTATTTATATTATCTATTTAATATTGATTTATTGATTTCTTTTATTTAAGGTCATCGTTAATTACTTTTATACTGCTAATGGTAGCGAGTAAGGGATCTATATTGTTTTAGCAATACTCTGCTTGTTATATATATTTTTATTGAAAATAATTATTAAGGGATGGGCTATTATGACCCTTACTCAACAACATGTTCTTTACTATTTACTGCCATTCTGTACAGACATACCACCTCCTTTATTCCATTATTTGAATCCTTCATACACAGCATCCCTAAGTGCCGTCGGCACTTTGATTTTGTCAGGTAGCAAATACATACAAAACTAAATGCGTATACACTCATTCGACAAAGGATACACTCCCACAGTTAGCTTGTTTACGCGTTTGCGTGGAGGATTTTGGAAGATCGTTTGTCTGTTGAAAAATAATGCATGCGCGCATGGTATATTGTCCAATAATGCATGGTTATTTACCAATGAAAACTGTCATTTCATTGAAGACGCGGTTTAATTATATATATTTACAAACGCCCTTCATATTTTCTTTTAAAAAGTCAGCTTGCAGTTACTGGACAGTAACTGCAGTCTGCGTTATCTGGTCGCATGACAATGACAACAGCAACCAATCCCACCGATACGATAGCCGCCATCTTGTTGTTGTCGTTTGGTTTATGTCGACTATGAAGACATCCAGTATAGGAAGGTTAGTTCTTATTTTTGTATAAGATTGAATGTTCTGCACGTTAGAGCGTTTAACTAGATTAATTAGAGCGTTTTACTGCATTAAACAGTTGTCGCCTGGTTACATTTTTTAATGGCGACCGTTGTTTGGAAAGTTTTCGGTCCGATAATGGCCGTCTGTGGCTGTTCCAGGCGTTGGACCAGTGAGGTTTTGCGGCAGCAGGACATATAAATTAAGCTCATCCGACTAATTAATAAAAGTCAGGTCGTATGAGGAAATGTAAAAATATAACGATTGAACGTCTGTCAGATTGCAGTTACAGACAATTTGAATGCAATCTGGGCGACAGATGAATAATCATCACGTCCTAACGGATTATTTATCTGTCACCCAGATTGTATTCATATTGGCTGTAACTGCAATTTGACAGACATTCAATCCTTGAATATTACAGTGGTTAACATCAATATTCTGCATTCAACTTCATATATCAGAGTAAAAAAAAACTTCTTGTGTCAGGGTTTTGACAGTTTTTAAGATTTCCTATGACCAATTTTAGCTAACGTTCAGCCATTGCTAATGTGATACTCATTTTTGCGTCAAAAAATACATTTAAATTTATAAGTGAGGACAATCAGATAACTTCTTGTACGAATTGAAATTAATAGAAAATTAACCTCACTAATAAAACAAGGTGATTGTATTACTTGTTAAATATTTATAATTGTTAGATCGATTAGCTTCGTTTGCCCACAATGTAATATTTTGCATAAGGTTCAAGTGTGCTGAAGTAATAAAAAGGAGGGATCAAAACTGTCGTCTAAATAAATGAAGTATCCAAATTGTACGATCTGTGCACCCTCGCATAGTTCTCACGATTCTTCGATTGATTCGGTCGGCAACCGTCGGACAAGCTAGGGTCACATTGTAATGAAAACAGGGTGGTCGGGTGGTGCAGTAGATAGCGCACTTTCCTTTCACCAGGCCGGCCGGGATTCGATTCCCAGATCGGGCGTGAAAAGGTGTGGGGTTAACTGTCCGACCACGTGGGATTTGTCCGGGTACTCCGGTTTCCTTCCCACAATAAGACCCCAACGCACTGACATCCGGGCCAATAAGATTTATTTATATAAGTTAAAATAAAATGGTTTCATAAACGTTGTAAAATGAATAAAGTTTTAAGTTAGCACGTTTTCACATGGCAAATAAAGAATTCGTTCGATGAGGAGCTACTAAATGCATTTTAGTGCGTGAAAGAGGTTTTTAACATGTGACCACATGCATAGCATACATTCGAAGAACCGACTGGCGTTAATGTTTCGGAGAGAGAAAAAAAAACAGTATGATTTATTTTGATTAGTTACAGAGACAAATATTCCTCTGTTTCGCTCAATAACACTTTTGTTAAATAAAAAAACAATATAAACATAATGTCTCACCTCTGATAGCATTGTGACGCTTCACGACCCAGATTCACTGTTACAACACAAATGGCAATGTTCACAGTGTGTATGGAATGTATGACACTCCCTCAGCGGGTCTTATCAGTCAAACACAAAAGTTCGCACAGGCCTGGGGAATCTATAATACGTTAATATTTGTTTTACTATGCACAATAAACCTCAGTGCTCTTGCCTTTTTTAAACGTGAATATTCTACATCATTTCGTATCTCTAGTGATTCTTTTCGGTCACAAGTTGGTTTACATTGCAGGTCGACAATCAATCCCCGAGAGTAGCTACAACGTTTTAGATTACATTTATTATTACACTGCTTACATAAAATAGTATGTAGTTCAACAGGAGACCAGGGGCCACGTAGTTCTCTGGGCATATTACTGGAGCGCCTGGCAGGTCACGTTAACAAGAGAACGTTTGCCATTTCTGTTGTATAATAGCACGATGACATTGCGTTTACTTCATTTATTCATATATCACATGGTTTACTAGACAAACCTATGTTATTTTTAATTTACCGTATGTAGCGCTTCATCCCGTCATGCTACTGGCCATATGGCCATGAAAAAGCCATGAAATTACCATGAGATGAATGCCATGAAAAAGCCATGAAAAAGCCCATGAAACACGACCCTTTTTAAGGGCCCTTATTTTTGTTAAACCCCATTAAATTACCATGAATATATTTTTTCAGCCATGAAAAAACAGAAATTCAAAACCATGAAAAAAGGCCATGAATGTGTGTGGCAAGGAAATTCATGGCCCATGAAACATAAAAATTCATGGCCCATGAAACATCAAAATTCATGGCCATGAATTCAACATGAATTCAATTTTCATGGCCATGAAAAATTATGCTCCACCACGAAAAATTAAACTCATAAATAATACAGGCATATATAAAGCTAGGCTGCATGTTTAAACAGTTAAAATATTATCAGAGTACTTTCCGGATTTGAACAAAAACAAGGAGAGGAACGAGAACATGAACCACCTCCATTTACACAGGTAAGATCAGATGTTCCTTCGTGTGTCGATCTCGTCTTTATAAAGTTGTGTTTAACCACTAAAATATAAACCAGCAAACAAAATTACATTTTATCATTTTATGCTATTTTGTGTGTGAATGAAAATTGAATAGAAAGTCAATAATCATTGGGTTTCATCATCAGATATTGCCGTAAGATTTCAGGAACAATTCAGAAATGTTTCAGCAAAGCCAACTGCTATATGCATAAGCAAACCTTACTGTGATTTCTAGCCAAACAACATTAAGCAAGTTCCGGGACATTTCAACAATGCTTCTTAATCACTGTTTGCTAAACAATACAACATACACTTCAACACTAGGACCAAAAAAAATAAAAAAATGTCTTGTTTCTCAAATTATTGTTAGATAAATTTAGGGCAATTACTGACTGTAGTGATGGGTAACTTTAGTCCATTTAAGCCTTTTTTTAAGTGATTTTTTTATATATATATCGTCTTCAAATAATAAAAATAAATTTAGAAGTTGGAACGACATGAATGCACTCCTGCTTTCTGTCACAAAATCTTTCTATTTTAGTAATTTAAAAAGGATGACACTGTCTGACCTTCACCCGAGAATCCAAAAATGCAAACTTGTCAATCATCAAAATTAGATACAAATATTTGTGTGTGTTGTCATGATGCTGTTTATTACAATCTGAATATCTCCATTATGGATGCAGATCTAGATCATGATTTAAAGTACATAAAACTTAAGAAGGCAAGAATTACACAAACCTATGATCACTAGTTACATATGGTCAGTGAATGAAGTATATCTATATTTGTGTGATCATGTCTTGTACATGTAGCTATAGAACTTTAGAAAGTGATAGTATTATTGTTCCATTATTAGACACGAATTTCACATTGAATACTTTGAGATTGTGTCATCCCATTCGTATGCTGTTTTAAATCATAATGTGAGATGTTGTTTTAAATCATAATGTGAGATGTTGAAGTGTGTAGCTTACATAGTCCGATATGAACACCGACCATCTGTACTCTTATACGGGAATTCGGGAGTAAATTATGTCATATTGTTGTATTTCATCAAATTGTAACATGATACAAGTATTCCATCCAAATAAGGTCGTAGTATTATGTTGTTAGTCTGTAAATTAACGATATAAGTGTTTAAATGCGAGGTGAAGACTGCATATTGAACCAATCAATGTGTATCAGCAGACGACAAGTCCACCGCTAGATGTAATCTGTATTTTTACGGGAAACACATGTTTATACTCAAAACGATTGTTCAGCGTGTTGATATAACATCATACCTGTCATGTGTATTCCATTTTATCATACTGTCTAATCTTTTATAGCCCATTAGAGTCGAAAGTTTGTCTTGGACATAGCGGTTCGTCTTCTACGGCAGCCATATTTGTTTATCTTTTCGGTAACACTCGGGAGTCATCCACATAGTATTTACTCGGATCTCTCGGACTTTATTAACTTAGTATATTAGATTCGAAGGTTTGATCATGGAAACTGATGTTATAGTTATTGACCATCAACTTTCTTCTAACTACACTTGTTTCAGTTAATAAATGATCATTAAAAATAAAGAAAATTAATTTAATGATCATAAAAATTAGTTTCATGAGCATTAAATTCTCATTTCTTTTATTATCGAAAACAATAACGGCTTAAAAATTTAACAGAACAGTTCAGCATTTTTCAGCATTATCCTGAACAGTTCAGCAGTTTTCAGCATATATTTTCTCGTATTTACGAAGTACATTTATCGTGATGTGCCAAATGTACACTCGTGTTGTGATATGATAAATCGTTCCAACATATATATATACCATGATATACCCTAATTAATTCTGTAAATATTCATGGCCATGAACATGCATGGTGAACACTATATTAAAAATTTCTATGATGATATATATATAGATATCATGGCCTTTGTTGAAAAATTCATGGCCATGAATTTATGATCTTTACTAGAAGCTGTGGAATTACTTTTTCATGGCCATGAATTCTTCATGTCTTTACTTGGACGCCATGATATTTTTCTTCGTGGCCTTGAACTATCTGGTATCTCGGACACTTTTAGAGCAACTAATTTTAATGGCAGTGGTTTTCCAAATTTCAATGCCATGAAATACACCATCGGAATTCATGGCCATGATTTCATTTTTTCAGGGCCATACTATGACCATGATTATTTTTTGCGACGAGAAATCATGGCCATGGTTCTTGACACTCGTATCAGACAACTATATTCATTGAAATTTAAGGGGATGTATGTGTGATTCATGGGGTATTCAACGAAATGTCATGGCCTTATTAATGGCATCCAGGCTTTTTAATGGGGTTTTCACAGGAATTTCATGGGATTTTTATGGGATATGCTTCCAGTAGTGGCATGTAGCATCACTGTGGTTCCTTTGGTTATTTAAAAGTATATCATCTTAAGCCTTTTTTTTTTTTTTTTAGATATTTCACCCCTGTGACTTTGACAGTGGGTCATTCAGTTGAACGAATTTGGTAATCCTTCCTCCTTGCATGCTCAGATATCATCACCTAGGGGCTTTTTGGTACTGAAAAGATTTTTGTTAAAAAAAAATAACACATTTGACACTCAATTGTGCCCTTGCAAGGTAGTCAATGTTATTCAGTTGGACAAACTTCGTAGCCCTTCATCCAAACATTCTATTGGCCAAATGTGAAAAAAAAGTTGACGCTGGACGCACGGACGTACGACAAATGATTGATGCCGCGTCACGGCATAAGCTTAGTTGGCACTTCGGTCCTTGTCTCGTTCAACCAAACTCTTGTTGTCTGCGTAAGCTACGCCGAACTACAAGTGATCAAGCGTCTGGTTGAATGAGACTACTTCGGTCCAGTAATTAGCAGATAACCATTTCCCCGTGCACCGTGCTTTATCCACATACAATGTAAAATGAGACTAACAATGTCCTGTGCGTGGTAAAAGCAGGCAATTAATCAGACGTCTATATTTAGATTCCCACAGCCTGTCTATAAATACCGCAACATATTTTAACCGGTGTTGTAGAGCCCTTTAAATCATTTTCAATAAAAAAAGGATTTAGGACCTAAGCACAATTATTCATTAATGTATCGACTGGCGCCGTAAACGTCTAGTATTTAGACCAGCTACTGCTGATAACACACTACGCTACTGTACATTTCAGTAGTAAATGGACAACATCTATTCGCCACCAAATGCAGATAAAATCATATAACCATACCTTGATTCACCACAAACGTATATCCGTCTAACAGAGTCACTAAGCAGATGGATACGGCCCGGTAGTACGGTATATGGTATATACACGAAGGTGTGTTTACTCACGCAAATAACACTATGTCTGCTATATGTAAGCGTAAATGTCGAACGGAATTTACGTGTATACACGTAACAGTACACGTTTGAAGACGCGCAGCGAACCGCAACGATCCCGATCGTGATAGTAGCTGTGGTTTATAGGCTAGTTTTACACACAAATTGTTATTCAAATAAATTATACGAATTTGAGTAGGTCATACAAATACAGGATTGCCCCAATTTGGGGACAAAACTGAGGTTGTGTGTCATTTTTGATGAGAACTATTTCTTATAAGATAGGGGGATCAATTGCAGCCAAATGTTACAATAACATTAAATGAACATGACTCTGAGTCACATTATTGTTTCACCTTGTCAAAATGAAACAGCCGGAGTGTTACTTTTATGATGTATTCGTCAATTCTTGTGTAGATTACACGCAAATCGTTTTGATCTTGATACCCAATCTCTTTCTGTACGTCTATCAATCCGAAATTACACTACACAGTTCCTCCCCATATGGGGCCGCGGTGGCATAGTGGTTAAAGCGTCTGACATTCTGCTATCACTAGCCCTCCACCACTGGGTCGCGGGTTCGAGGCACTCGTGGGGCAGTCGGCAGGTACTGGCTGTAGGTCGGTGGTTCTTTCTCCAGGATCTCCGGCTTTCCTCCACCACCAAAAACTGGCACGTCCTTAAAGGGTCATTTAGCTGTTATGAGGACGTAAAACAAAAACAAACCTCCCCATATGTTCAATTATTACATTTTCCTGTCCTCCCCCTCCATATTTTGTATCCTTATATTTCATTCTCATTTGTCAGATTGTATTTATTTCGCACATCAAGTTTCTAGAAAGGTTGGTCATATTTGACCAATTCACTATTTCATTTTCGATTGGTATTACTTTCAGATGCGTTTAGGAAAAGGAAAAATAAGACCCGATTGATTTATTAATGCCTACCATGAACAATTATTGATGACTAATCCTTAGATTGTTTGTTACCTTAATTATTTCTTGGTTTTCACGGGATATATAATTTGGTGTAAAAACCGCTTAGCCTCTGGAACACTTGGAACCGCCTCCGTGTTTGCCTGGATTTATATATTTCCTTCTGATTTGATGTCTCCACAGTATACGTTATCTGTTTGTACTGCGGATTGACGGTGTAGTATATATGTTTATATAATTGTTATTATAACATATCCAATGACTCATTCCTTCCTTGTGTGACATGTGATTGCATTAATGAGAGCTGCCTACCTGATGACGTTGAATCCTGACGATGGCCAGGACCTAAATCGAATGATTATATTATCATATTTTGACTCGTGGTACATCTGCGTGTTAATAAAATCGGAGTAATCGAATAACCACTCATTTTTAATTTGTACATTTAGAACAATATTGCCACCAAAGTATATCCGATAATTGCATGAATACCTTCGTTATATACAGTGTTGGTGAAAATCCATCTTTGAGTTTCTTTTTCACCATGTTGACCTTGATGACGAGTAATTTGTAACGTTTACCTTTGTTTAATTACAATTATCTGAGTTTGATAATAATGATAATAAATCGTGATTCTTGTATACCGCTTTATCACAATTCAACTTCACAAATTATTTTCCGTTGTTATAGGGCCTTTGCAACCAGCAAATATCTTCCTCAACTCCCTTGGGAGCAAACAGCCAGTGCTGCAATTTCGGCGCTCACAGCTAACATTCAACAGTTCTAGCACTACCCGACCACGTACTCATTTACAGCTGAGTAGACTGGAACAGATACAACATAGTGCCGTGACGTGACTCGAACCTGCAACATTTTAGTCACGAGCCCGGTGCTATCACTAGACTATACTACCGTGCTTCCTGTAATCGCAACAACTGGTTTACCCGTTGTCAGCATGTGACAGCTGGTCGGAATGCTGTACAGGGTGTTTTAAGTCGACATAGTATCCGCGCTTCCACAATAAGGCAAATACATCAATACACCCTGCCTACAGTACACAAACACACAATAACGCATATGTTACACACATGAAGCACTGTAACGTCCTTAAATGATTAACTGTTAAATATTTACCGACGAGTGGCATTGCCACTATATAGCTCTACCAAATTCAGTTGAAATTCATATAGGCTATGAATGTCACGGACCAATTGTTGACGTCATCATTATTATGACGCCATAATGTTTACGTTGGATACCACTGACCTTCCCTGGGCGATGGCTGTTCTATTCAGTGAACAAGCACACACGATACATACATTACATTATTTGAACTGAATGCTGACCAAAAAATAAGAAAACAAATGATTCCAAAAATGGTAAACATAAGTATTGAACTGCTTTCATTTGTCATTCATATTGCTTATGAATGCCAACTGAAAGCAGATTAATGCTTAATTGAAGGTTTAACAAAATAAAAATAAACTAGCCAACCCCTTCCAACTCCGATATGAGTTTTGAGCTGAAGATAAGAAGTAACAATGTCTCGATCACAGTCTGTTTATTGCAGGTAGATGATAACAATAAAATATCACACATTAATATACAATATGTATATGATACTTTATATTACTGAAAATGTGTGTCTAGTCAATAATTTAATGATATACCATGGTTAATATAATTACTATTTTTTTATTTAAAAAGAAAAGCACATGGGCCTTAACATTTACATGAATGATGTGTGTGGAAAAAATATTAAAAAATGTGCATGCAGTTCAAAATAGCAAATGGTTTACACGTAAGTATAGACAAAGGGTAGGTACACGTAGGCGAAATCAACAATGCACAAGTACTACTATTTATGGATCAACATATACACTTTTACTATTTCTAAACATCTTCTTTAGTTTGGTAAGTATGGATTAGGAAAAATTCTTTTTACACAACCAATTAGATTTTTAATGTGACATTTAGACGACTTGTAGGATATGTACACTGTCACCTTCATCAGACAAATGACCAGTGAAGCGTATGCACACAAAGGTTTAAAATGTGAACGAGTTGTCCACAAAATCGATGTCGATTCGCTGAATCGAGTCATTTCGTTACATATAAAACAAATATTGTACATACGCTTAAAGTGAAACCGAATAGACATCGATTGTGTGGACAACTATAGCAAAATGTTCGAATAACATATACATGTATATGTAAAACCAATGGTCTTGTGACCGTAATAAATTTATAATCTTGATATAAAGTATCCTATCGTAGCATTGTACATTGTTATATATTGTTGTCTTATTTATAATCTACTAAAATGTTGACCAGGGAATTTACTATGATTATCGTGGGTGTTTTTATGGAAAGATGTACATTTATCTATATTAGAGGTCGGGTTGCCTCTGCACAGCCAGTTAAAGAGAAATTAAGCTCCGCATGACCTAGGTCGATACATGAAATTAAGATAATATGTAATTTCGAAGCATTCAGTTGGGCAAAAGCGATTGGCATTTACATGTCCGATGAACTATTTTTAAGGAGACATCAGCCTTAATGTCTTGCTATTAACAACGTTAGCATGGCTATGAACCATATTGTACTAACAAATGTTACAAATAATTACATACAAACGTTTTGGATATACCATCTTTCAGGGGGGGGGNCCAGAAGTATGTATGATATGTATTGAAAATCAATCTGCAATCTTTTCCATGTATTTTGATAATAGGATTTCGTCAACCTTGCAATATCGCGTTGTTGCCGCTCAAACAGATATACGCGGCACCAAGATACTAGCATCACAGTCCTAATTTATAGTCTCACTTACTTTCATGTCATCCTCGATATCCAGGGGTTACACTCACTTTCGTTCTGTGCACCCCTGGAATATGTCATAGCAAAACTGAAGGCACATGGCTAAATACTGTATAACACGAAATGTTCGTGGGTACTTTCCTTCGTGGTTTAAAGCCATTAAGATTGTTTCGTAGTACAAACTTTCGTGATTTTCCTATATAAGCATACAGTAGATACGTATTTTATTCAAATTAGTTGTATTTAGATCTGAGGTGCAATAGCAACCACGAAAACCACGAATGTTATACAGTATTTGATTGGTGTCAGCTAAACAAATCTGACCGACCACTAGGCTGATACTTGTCCTTTGCAGATTACAGAGGAGCGACGCCCGACTTCAAAGTTTTACCGTTACGCGACCGCGAGATTCTTGTGATGTACATCAAAGGATCAAACAAGCCTTTTCGTTTCATCCACAAGGCGGTGCACACTGAAACGTCGATTTTGCTATGACATATTCAAGGTGTGCAGAGAACGAAAGTGAGTGTAACCCTTGAATATCGAGGATGCTGTCATGTGTAGGTGTTATCTAATTGTCGGCAATCGACTGTAATATATCAATGAGATTCACGAGTCCAAACAATATACCTTCCTCGAACTGTGTCCCATAACTATGTTCCTTCATGTCAGATTTCAGCACCGTACGACCAAAATCAATCAACCGGACGTCTGCCGTGCTAGTGTCATATTCACATTCCGGCAGATGAACACTGTTCAAACCCTCCCCCTCATTTTTTCTTTTGTCTTTCTCATCACTTGATGTGGGCTGATCGACATTCAAACCCTTTTCTGATTGGTCAAACTTTTCCGAAGGTGTCGTTCCTTCTTTTGAGTGGTCAGAACAATGATCATTGTTGAGGTAACCATCGTAAAACAACAGAAGAGAAGAGCCAAAGAAATAGAATTTATCTTGTATCGACAATATGCGATGAAGTCTGCGCAGTTTATTTATAATCCGGGTAATGTCACGGACATTGAGGACGCAACTGTTGTGAAAGAATCGTCTGAGCTCCTGCCGAAGGCCAGCATCATCGAGTGTCCAGCCGTGGTGTTTATTGTGCGATAGGTAGGTGTTAGTCTCCGCTTCGTACATCTGTCAACAGCAATTCAAATATTCAGCATTTTCTTATGCTACAAAAATTAGTTCATCTTAATATTTAAAAAAAAAATCATCCTTCTTGATTTTTTACTAACTCAATTCCTTTATAACTCATATATTGGAAAATAAGTCGATGTGATGTTGAAAATTGGAAAAATGGGTAGCATCATTCTGAAATTTTCAACACGTCTTGAGAGACCGAACGTTAAGGATGCAATCAATAAAATTCTGAAACAAGGTAAGTTTTTGTTCTTTTTGTTTGCGAAATATTTTAAGTAGTTTTGTGTGGTTAGAAAGTTTAATATTGATATTGTTCCAAAACTTTCTTTTCCTGTTGAAATGCTAACAGTAATATGATAGGCCGTCATGGGGAAGAGTAATATGTCCCTATAACACAGCGAAATATTGAAAACATATCAATTACGAGTTAAGTTCAATTGTCAATTTAAAAGATCAATCTGAGAGAGAAAGAAGATCAATGCGATGCAAATCTGCAACAGCATGTTTAAGTATGTCCTCGATACTCCAAGGGCGACGCTCACTTTCGCTCTCTGCACCCCTGGAATATGTCATAGCAAAATTCAGTGTGCGCCACCTTGTTAAAGGGACAAGGAGACTAGTTCGATCCTTTTATGTACACCAACATAATCTTGCGGTAAAAAATGACTGACTTTGAAGTCGGGTGTTGCTCATTTTTAATATTCAAAGGAAAGGTATCAACCTAGCGATTGGTGAGGTTATAATTTTACCTGAGACCAATCGCACAGCTTTCATTTCCAGGGATGCAGAGAACGAAAGTGAGTGTAACCCATGGAGTATCGAGGATGGCTTAAATGGCGTAACACAACCACCGTTCCTACGTAGTTAGTGGCGATAGTCGTGCAGCTCAAGCTTCGGAATCTTAAAAAAGAAGCCAACTTTTAAGTACAACATACAATACGTCAGACGAACTTACATGCATGCCGCTCAAACGGATGCCCATAGTTCCGGAAGTGGAATTTGCTGATCGATCTTCGCGCACCCTCCGCTCCTCTTCAGTAGTATCGTCACCAGTTTGTTGGGTGCCTATTTTTAGATCCAGTATACATGGCATCCTCAGCGAACCAACCAGGTTTCCCAGCATGGTGTAATCTGCGTCTTGTTAAGGGTTTTTAATGGGTTTATGATAAAATAGTTTATATTTCCCATGAAGACTTTTTGAGTTTTGAAATGCAAATATCAGAGAAACCTACCACTTCAACAGTTGAAGCAGGTGTTTATATTTCCTATGAAGACCTTCTGAGTTTTTAAAGGCAAATATCAAAATGACAACGCTCTGAAGAGAAAACTAACACTTCAAAAGTTGAAACAGGTTTCTATATTTCCCATGAAGACTTTTTGAGTTTTGAAATGCAAATATCAAAATGACAACGCTCTGTAGAGAAAACACTTCAAAAGTTGAAACAGGTGTTTTGATTTATGGTGTCATTATTCAATAGCTTAATTAATACAGGCGGGCCATTAAATGTATCAGTCTGATAAGGAAACACAGAATTGTTAAATAGGAGACTAGATATTTAGGCCTTCTCTAAAATGATAGCTGGGTATCGCTGTAAAAAAATCCTATGTTTGGACGGTCAACTATCTATGGTAAACCTGTATTCAGAAGCAATCATCGGCAAATTCATTTTGGGTATCATATTGCATGTACAAGTTATATCTAAACACAAGAGGTCGGTCAATTAAGGCGGCATACCCCCAATATGTTTGACAATATATGAAAGAGAAGAAACAAATTGTCGCTATATGAAACAAGCCTACATACAGACACTATATTGAAAATATGTAAATAATGTGAACACTATCCAGTAGCTCAATGTTTACTCGTTCAGGATATGCTCCTCCTGATATATGGTACATCCAGAACAACAACAAAGAACTCCTACAAAAGAAAAAAACCAGATAACAATGCCGAATATATGGATTTTGTTCTGAATTAACATAATTGACGTAATTATATTTACTTCCGGATGATAAGTAAGCTAGATAAAACTGCACAGAGCATCATGTAAGTGTGAACTTCTTGGTTGTAGTAGGACTGTGAAGGATACCGTGCTTATCACTACTGGAGCATAATCCTTTGTATTTAACTTCTTTGTGTATACGGGACAAACTCCAGTTGTCCAGTCCAGATTTCACCTCCTCCCGTTTCTCACTGAAAGGTAAACAAAGAGTTTACATTTACAAGTTATATCATCAATAACGGACACCCTGTATAATATGGTGTAGAATTGTTATGTCAGATTAAAAATATTAGCGCCAAAATAAAAACAAGAGGCCAGAGGACCTGTATCGCTCACCTGAATATCTAAGCTGTCATAGCAAAATATTCTCATTAAAAATTATCCTGTACTACAAATATTTCACTCGTAAACTTTGTCGGCTCCATCCCAGGAAGCAACCAGCTAAATATTATAAATCTGCACTCTAAGATTAGTAAGAAGAAGTTGTTTAATTGTATAACATATTTGACCCTTGTGACCTTGTAAGTAGGTAAAGGTCATTTTCATTCTCAAACTTTGTCAGGCTCTATCGCAGGAAACAACCAGTCAAATATGAAGGTTCTACACTTTTCAGTTCATCAGAAGAAGTCGTTTTAAATGCTTGAAACATTTGATCCCTGTCACTTGAAAGTAGGTCAAGGTCATTTTAATGTTCAAACTTTGTAGGGCTTTATCCCAGGAAGCCACTAGCCAAATATGAAGATTCTATACCTTTCAGTTCTTCAGAGGAAGTCGTTTGAAGCATTTGACATATGTGACCGCTGTGACCTTGAAAGAAGGTCAAGGTCATTTGCATTCTCAAACTTTTTTCGGGTTCAATGCTAGGAAGCTACCAGCCACATATGAAGATTCTATTCCTTTCAGTTCTTCAGAAGAAGTCGTTTGGGGTGTTTGACGCATTCGACCGCTGTGACCTTGAAAGTAGGTCAATGTCATTTTCATTCTCAACCTTTGTCTGGCTCTATGTCAGAAAACCACCAGCCAAATATGAAGATTCTATACCTTTCAGTTCTTCAGGAGAAGTCGTTTGAAATGTTTGACACATTTGACCCATGTTACATTGAAAGTGGGTCAAGTTCATTTTCATACTCAAACTTTGTCAGGCTCCTACTAACGAAGCTTTCCGCAAAATAACATGAATCTAGGCCTGTTTTTTCTTCAGAAGAAGTAGTTTAAAAGAAAAGTTATCGGACGACGACGGACGACGGACGGACGACGGGCAGGTGAGCTAATGACAAGAGGGTGCACACATGGAGGTTTCCAACAGATTGATGTTTGGTTGTCATGCTTATCTAACTCCAAATGGTTAATATTCAAATTGTATCAAGACACGAAGTTAACCGAGCGGAGTCACCGGAGATTTGCCGATTGTACCTGCAATGAACTATGACGTCACAATGGGGGAGTATATCAAAAAGCATAGTTACATGTACTTAACTTATTTGTTTGATATGCGATGAGAAAATAAATTTGTTTACGTACTGCTAGCAGGTTTATCGAATGATTAAGGGGGATAAAACCTAAAGTGGTTGTGGGAGAAATTACTTCCGGTGCAGATCTTGTTGACGATTCGTAACACTTCTAAACTTACATGTTGTTTGGATAATCTGTGTTCTGTAGGATACATCCAGGTACTTCAGCATGGAACATGGGGATATCGCCATCCTGGCTACACTTGATGGACACCAGACCTGTGGGGATAGTCATCATGTATAATCATCTGGTATAGAACAGTGGCGGGATCCGCTTAGTATGTGTATACCTCTCAAATCACGTATGTTTAAAGCCTTATACCCAGTTTATCTATTTCGTTGCGTTCTATCGTTGCTACGTCGCGTTTAAACATTATATTTAGTTATTTGTTCTACATTACGGCAAGTACACAATGTACATATTACAAATACCAGAAAAATTTCATATTATCAACTTTGTTACAACGTATCTTAGAAACATTTACTGCAAACTTATTCCGGCTGAATTGATGACAAGCATATATATGATTTTTTGGGGAGTAAAACCATCACTATCATTATATTAATACGTCACTGGTATTGTCTTTTCTCGCACCTCAGACAGAAAAATCCCACATAATACCCCATGCTAGATTTTTCTATCTTGTCCTATCTGTGACATTTCGCGGAGCTTTTGCACTGCGACGTATTCATCCGCGCGTTAACGGCCTGAATATGACAATCTGCATTATAAATATTCTGTTTTGTCGTTATATGTATCGCTTTGATGTTTCACTGCATTATTGCTGAAATGTATTGCATTTATTTATTGTTTGTTATTAAAACTTGGCTATGACTCAAGTACACCTGTCTGTAAAAGCATCCATGATCTTAAAGCGATGTTTACAACGCTCTCTATATGCATATTAATCTATTCAAAAAATGTTAAAGCTTTTGATAGCCACGACGTTATTAAAACCAATCTATGCAATGCACTCAACAGTCATCTGAATATTGCTAGAAATAGTTGAAACTGTCATAAAGGAGGCATGGTAGTCTAGTGGTAGGACGCCGGGTCGCGAGTTCAAGTCACGGCACGGCACTGTGTTGTATCTGTGAGCAAGATACTTTACTCCGCTTGTTCCAGTTTACTCAGCTGTAAATGAGTACGTGGTTGGGCAGTGCTAGAAATGCAGAATGCTAGTTGTGAGCGCCGAAATGGCAGCACCGGCTGCATGTTCACAAGGGATTTGAGAAATATATTGGCTGGTTGCAAAACCCTTATAACCACGGATAATAATTTGTGAACCACTTTGAGACGGCCTACGATCTAGGTTGGGATAGAGCGGTATATAAGAACCTCGAATTATTATTATCATTAAATAGTACTAAAGCATGATACAGTATTACTTGAAAAAAATACCTATTAAAGAAATTCAATAACAATAGGAAAATTAAACATCGGTTCAAAAGTTTTCTTTATTTAAAATAATTTCTTCTCTGATATTTTTAGTAAGCTTACGTGGAGCTAGTAATGTGTGTATGTTAGCTAGCACGGTTAAGAGGGGTTTTATAATTAAGAATTTAGAGGAGGTATGATAAAATTCCTACATAGGAATTATAAAATTTAATTTCGTCAGAGATGAAACCATGATTTTTTGATAAATGAGAACGAGTTATACGGCCATTAGGAATATTTCTAACTCAAACACCTTACAAACGTTTTTCTCTGTAAAGTATGGTATATGCGTCACAAGAATACGTATATCAACCCAAACACTGTCTATAGAGTCAGAAAGACATAGAAATGTACCGAGAGAACAACGATTTGTAAAGAATGTAGCTACTCTGATGTTAAAGACTTACATGTATTCGATTTCTTATTGATCTGAATTACATTTCGAATTTTAAGAAAAATTCACACAACTAAATAATGTCGAAAAAAATAGGAAAAAAATATGTACAATTAAAAATACTTTCAGCTAAAATATCTATCAAATATTAATTTATGTGTGGTCAGATTGCACAGAAATGTGCCAGCATATAGCCAAAAGGCCGGGTCTCGATTCCCATATCGCACGTGGAAAATGCATGGGGTAACCTGCCAAACCACGTGGGTTTTCTACGGGTTCCCGATAGGTTTCCTTGCATAAGACCCGTTTGCGGTGCCATCCGAGCCAACAAGGGTGTTCAATGCAAGTTGGTGTAATGTTTGTTTAGGGTTTAACGTCCTCGCAACAGCTAAGGTCATATGGGGACGGGTTCCTACAGAGACACCACCCGAGGACAGGAAAGATAGGAAACGAAAAAGATCCTAAGTGTAGCAATGGGGCCAGCAGATCAATTTTGGTCTCTTCAAAACAATACAAAGAAGAAACAACACCCGATTATGCAGCCCCCTCCACACCCAATATTAGTCACCTCTTGCGTCATGCAGTGGGATACAGCAGGCCTAATCTTTCCCCGAACCTGCACGGATTTGATAAAATGTAAAACTGGTTTCAGAATTGTTGTACAATGAATAGAGTAACACCAATGTACATTGTCTCCAGTGAAGAGAATCAATCTCTATAGTGTATTCATTGTATATGTAACGTACGGATGGGCCAAGGTTGGGCCTAACAAAATGTTATTTTTTTTATATAAATTTCATTTTATACAATAAACCATACATGACCTTCGTTGTTGGGTGATATGAAGATTGTTTTATCCTCAGCCGTTTAATGTTCCTCGGGCTTAATTTTTATGGGATATAACAGCTTCGGGTAAGCTAATTTCATATCTCCCTCCCACCAGGTCTATATATGTTTTAATACATTTGTAACAAGAGTCCCAGAGGGCCTGTATCGCTCACCTGGATATCTTAGCAATCATGACAAAATATTCTCCAAATGAGATCCAAGGGAATATGCCAGACCCCAAGACCAATCTTTGTAGCATATCTGTATTAGATTTTTCATGCCCAGCAATTTTATGTATGGTTATGGGGTGGGGATCTCAACTGTTTCTAAGCTGTGACTCAGAAACAAGGTCCCTAGGGTTGTGGCTAGACCCCAGGATCAATTCTAATATCCTGACTCTTTTTGCCCAGTATTTGTATTTATAGTTTTGGGGTGGGGATCTCAACCGTTTCAAAGTTATGACCCAGGGGTAAGTCTGCAATGGTGGGGCAGACCCTGGAGTCAATTCTAATATCATGACTGCATTCGTCTCTTCATGCCCAACAATTGTATATATATATTTTGGGGTGGGGATCTTAACTATTTCAAAGTTATAACCAAGGGACTATGTCTCAAAGGGTGGGGACAGACCCTAGAGCCATCCTGGAAGCAAATGTGCATTCTTCTATTGATATTCAGCCAAATTACCCTTTCGGCTCCGCCCCTCAGCCCCCTTGGGGTTAGCCCCAACATTTGTACAATTTTGAATCCCTGCCTCCCATGAATGCTTTTGATCAAATATGATTGATATCCAGTGCATAGTTCTACAGAAGAAGTCGTTCGTAGCAATATAGCCAATTTGCCCCCTTTTGGCCCCACCCCTCAGCCCCCTGGGGGGGGGGGTCAGCCCAACCATTTGTACAATTTTGAATCTCTACTACCTGGGTATGCTTCCAGTCAAATATGGTTGATATCCATCTTTTAGTTCTAGAGAAGAAGTTGCTTAAAGCAATATAGCCAATTTGCCCTCTTTTGGCCCCGCCCCTCAGCCCCCTGGGGGTCAGCCCCACCATTTATACAGTTTTGAATCCCTGCCTTCCATGAATGCTTTTGATCAAATATGATTGATATCCAGTGCATATATAGTTCTACAGAAGTCGTTCGTACATTGTAGCAATATAGCCAATTTGCCCCCTTTTGGTCCCGCCCCTCAACCCCCTGGGGGGTCTGCCCAACAATTTGTACAATTTAAAATCTCTACTACCTAGGGATGCTTCCAGTCAAATATGGTTGATATCCATATCTTTGTTCCAGAGAAGAAGTCGCTTAAAGCAATATAGCCAAATAACCCTTGTTGGCCCCGCCCCTCAGCCCCCTGGGGGTCAGCCCAACCATTTGTACAATTTTGAATCCCTGCCACCCATGAATGCTTTTGTTCAAATATGATTGATATCCAGTGCAAAATTCTACAGAAGAAGTCGTTCGTAGCAATATAGCCAATTTGCCCCCTTTTGGCCCCGCCCCTCAGCCCCCTGCGGGGGTCAGCCCAACCATGTGTACAATTTTGAATCCCTGCCACCCATGAATGCTTTTGTTCAAATATGATTGATATCCAGTGCATAATTTTACAGAAGAAGTCGTTCGTAGCAATATAGCCAATTTGCCCCCTTTTGGCCCCGCCCCTCAGCCCCCTGGGGGGTCAGCCCAACCATTTGTACAATTTTGAATCTCTACTACCTAGGTATGCTTCCAGTCAAATATGGTTGATATCCATCCCTTTGTTCCAGAGAAGAAGTCACTTAAAGCAATACAGCCAATTTGCCCCTTTTTGGCCCCGCCCCTCAGCCCCATGGGGGTCAGCAACAACAGGTGTACAATTTTGAATCCCTGCCTCCCTTGAATGCTTTTGATCAAATATGATTGATATCCAGTTCATAGTTCTACGGAAAAAGTCGTTTGCAGCAATAGACATATTGCCCACTTTTGGCCCCGCCCCTCAGCCCCCTGGGGGTCAGCCCAACCATTTGTACAATTTTGAATCCCCACCACCTAGTGATGCTTCCAGTCAAATTTAGTTAAATTCCAATCAGTGGTTAAGAAGAAGAAGTCGTTTAAAGAAATTGTTGACGGACGGACGGACGACGGACAACGGACGACGGACGCCATGGTATGGCATAAGCTCACCTTGGTCCGAAGGACCAAGGTGAGCTAATAATAATTCAGTCGTTGAGTTGGTTTTACCTTTGTAATGTGGCGTAAACTCCTTCAGATAATCCGGTTTATGTTTATAAAACTGGAACTCTTTTTCCTTGTATAATTTACAGATTGTTTCCGGTGTGATCTCGAGCATGACCGCACGTCCGCCGACTTGATGGATAAATGGTCTGGCCTCCACCACCCGGATGTCGTCCTTTCCCATTGTTATCATGATACCGATAACCTCATATGTAGCACCTGTATAGCACATTAAGTAAGAAATACGGATACACACACCCACATACTCAAAGTTTCAAGTATAAACTTAACACTGTATTAGGTACAGTGGGTATATTATATATCGTGTAGGCGTTCAAGTGTTAACGGTCATACACATAGCAACACAGTAACTACGATATACAAACGTCCATACAATGTCAACTCTATCGATGCATATATTATAAACTTGACCCGAGGTGAAAACAGGTCAAAAACGACTAAATTACGTTGAACGTTACGGGTATCTTACGACAATGCACTTCCTGCTCCTTCAATCAAAACGGTTACATTTCACATTCGTCTGTTCTGTGGAAACTTACCATTCAAAGCGCATATGGAAAAAGCCTGCTACGTTCAGTGACACGGGGGTCGGACACATGAGATAAGAGTACACATACTCTAAGTACATGTGTATTCGGTGTTGGTTGTATTAGTTCGATCATAGCCTGATTGCCTTGAAAAGTGACGATTAAAAAGTAATATTCTAAAGCGTAGTACAGCATATGACGGAATTGATTGAATGACTTTGTCAAAGAAATTAAAATATAGTGAGCATAGAAACAATAGCTAGGATTTCTTTAAGTAATATAAGAACACCTATCTTTGATGCATTGATATCACGAATTGTTACCGTTGTTATAAAAGGAAATGTTTCTCAAAAGGTTATTTAAAAACTTCACTGTAAACACACGTTTTTCTAGAGTCTTTTAAGTTTTCACTTTTCATTTCGTGAAATCATGCAGAAGTTAACACCGATCACCCACGACATCTGTCAAAGGAAACGATGTATTTTAGAATCTCTACGTATGAGTATCGCATTTCCCACCCCAACCCCGGCCGTGTGAAAAAAACCGACTCCTGATCAACATAGTTGCTTTTCCCTTACCCTGGACAGGTGTATCCACACTTTTACCGGTGTGAGATATACTTTTCTCCCATCCGTCACAGATGTGTCCCCCGTTTTGGCGGGAAAGATCAGCTTTTCTCCCACACCTGACAGATTAATCTCCCGTTTTGCCGGTGCTAGATTTATCTGTCTCTGCCCTAGGGCTGAGACGGGGGGATTCCCCTATTCATAACAATGGTGTGACGTCACTTCAACAATACAATGACGTCACGTCAACAATCCATCAACGACACGTCAACCCTGAATTTAGCATGTAACGTTGTCATTACATTATATTTACATTCTGTATGCTTAGACCCATTGACAAAAATTACATTCATAAATGCATAACACAGGTATTCATAGAATCTCAGCACGTGGGAACTGATAGTAACCTGATCACACTGCGTAGTAATACACTACAAAAATCACTCACTCGGAACGACCGACCTAGATGCTTAATTCTTACATCTTAAAATATTATTGAACTGTGCTTGGTGAAATATTCACGTATTCACGTGTCCTGTGCTACAAATAAACATTGAATATGGAACTACATTTTGTTGTGTTATTGTTGTTGACGGTTGCTAAGATCTCTCACGATAGTGTCACATTTCCCCGCGAAAAAACACTGTTCTCGCCACTGCGTTGCACCCGTGTATAAGCAGGAACAAACCCTGTTTATTTGTTTTATTCGTTGTTATATCGATCCACTGAAAGGATTCGTCAATGTAAATATAAGGAATGATATTTATTTTTTCAACATTTATGAGGTCATAACAACAATGGGTTTTTGGACATATTTTACATGAATCGCTAACGCGATTCATTCAATATGTCCATAAACCCATTGTTGTTATGACCTCATAAATGTTGAAAAAATAAAAANACTCGGCAAAGCCTCGTGTTTGGCAACTTAAGAATCTTCCCCCTCGGGTTGAGATTCCCCTATCTCACCCCAAAGCCTCGTGTTTGGCAACTTAAGAATCTTCCCCCTCGGGTTGAGATTCCCCTATCTCACCCCCAAGGGGGTGAATGATTCTATATGTCACCCCCTAAGGGGAGATAGCCTCGTGCCGATTAGCACGTGTTCAATTGTGACAACATTAAATTGTGTCACCGGTAATTGTGACGTCATCAAAGGTGATTTTTTTAACAAACATTGCAGATTACTGTCGGTGGAATTGTGACTAAAATAATAGGATGGGAGAAAAATAATCACCCCCTACCTTGAGGGTGTTATAGAGAAATCTCCAACCCTCGGGGTGATTTGTTTTGGCTGTCTAAACCTCGGCAGAGCCACGGGTTAGACAACCAAAAAACATCACCCCTCGGATAGGAGATTTTTTCGTCACACCCTAAAGGTAGGGAAATATTCTATTAGTCACACCTAGGGCGAGATAGCCTCGTGCCGATAAGCACGTGTTCAATTGTGACGACTTCATTAAAATGTATCACCAGTAATTGTGACGTCCTCAAAACTGAATGACGATGTTCATACCCCACATGTGTTTTTGTTTACACTACTATCGGTGGCGTTGTGACTGAAATAATAGGATGGGAGACAAATAGTCATTCCCTACCTTGAGGGTGTAAACAAGAATATATCCAAGCCTCGGGGTGACCTTTTTTTGGTTGTCTAACCCTCTGCAGAACCACGTGTTAGACAACAAAAAACATAACCCGTCAGGTAGGAGATTTCTCTGTCACACCCACAAGGTAGGGAATATTCTATTAGTATCAACCTAGGGTTGAGACGAGGTTCCCCTATTCATAACAATGGCATGATGTCACGTCAACAATACAATGACGTCATGTCAACAATTCATCAACGTCACGTCAACCCTGAATTTAGCCTGTAACGTTAACATTACAATGATGTATATGCTACTCAATGGGAGAACAGGGTCAGAGGAAAATAATCATTCACCCCTTTGGAGAAAGATTCTTAAGTTGCCGAACACTCGGCAAAGCCTCGTGTTTGGCAACTTAAGAATTGTTCCCCTCGGGTTGAGATTCCCCAAGGGAGGGAGAGACTATATTAATCCAACATCCCATTTATAATAAAATTACAAATCAAATCTTTAAAAAACACGATAAGCCCTATGTATTCTGACATTCAATCTACCCCGACAAAGGCACACAAACAATATTTTATGTCCAAAAAGATGTCGATTCATGCATGTCTCCATTTACAATACCACGAGTACTGCAAATAATGCTCCACTACAGTAAATTAAAAGGTTACAAAACTCGCTAAAACACAGCAATGTTTTAGCCATGCCTAGCATGATAAAAATATATATATTCGTATTTAAGGTAAATATTAACTCACCAGCGAAACAGCAGAGAATAAAAGCAGCCGTAATTTGAAGTGAAATTGAATCTGTTACAATGAAATATGAGGAACTCTGATTTCGTCAGGTGAGCTCATGCGTGAAATATGAGGCACAGTATTGGTTACTATACAATTGAATTGTGTACAAAAATAAAGATTTCCTTTCGATGGCCTCATTGACAGGTACCACTCTATGTAAAAATCTAATCACTCAAACAAGCTTAAGGCCGTTAATGCGATTACGTCACAATTCTTATATGAACTGGAACTAACAGTATTAGCTCAACTTGTCATTATTGTGGTACAATAAGTTGCACGCATGGTTGGTTATAAACTGGTTAAAAGTATTGAAAGCAGATTGAGGCCTTTTATGGAGATTAACTTATACATGTATGACCTTATCAAATGATGATACCCTTTGACGATGAATATTAGGCTTAATTTGATTATTGTAAAACGATTGTGTTATTTACGCATATACTGTACACGTATACAAAACTTGTAACTAAATGTACAAGTATTTTCTCCGAGATTTCGAATGGATACCTGTTGTTCGGGGGTTCTTACATAACATTTACTAAATCGAAAACAAAGTGTGGCCCGTCTCTTATATAGATGTAGTACTACATGTATATCTGTACGACATGTATAGTACGATTTAGGATTGTATACAACTTATTAAGTATACGACGTCTACTGTAACATTTATAGAAACTATCATTATCTAAAGTAAACACTTTACTGAATAATAACGTTACGTACTCAATTATATTTTCACTAGGTATTAACGTGTGTACATATAAACACACGTGTACCGACAGTAACGTTATATAGTACACATTTCCGGTGACATACCATGAGTATACACTATATAAACTGGAGTGGCTGCCAAACTAAGTTTACATATCAATAAGCTTATTCCGGTAAAGCCAAAATTATAATCACGGATAATAGTTTGTGAACCGCTTTGAGACGACCTACGAACTAAGTTGTGATAAAGCGGTATATAAGAACCTTGAATTATTATTATTATTGTTATTATAAAGTGACTATTATTAGAATTAAAATGTACTTTTAAACTTTGTGTGAGGAGCAGCACGGTATATCCTAGAATACCAGTCATGTAATAGCATACTGTCTATTTTGTCTTTTGCATCCTTAAGTGTTTGTTGTATAGATATTTGGTTTAATGTCCTATTCCGTCTTTGCGTATTGCAGAGTTATCTTCTCTTTGGAGCAGGTATTGATTGTTACGTCATTGGTTTGTGTGAGAAAATTACGTCGTTTTCTCAAAAATTGATTACGTTACTCTCACAAACAAGTGACGTAACAATCAATACCTGCTCCCAAGAGAAGATAACTCTGCAATACGCAAAGACGGAATTAACAGCTCAGGTCATTTAAGGACGTGCCCACATGTGTAATTGTGTTTGCGTGCATGTGTGTATGTGTGCTGGAGACAGGAAATGCATTACACGCGACGTGCCATGACATGGGAGCAAGCACTTGACCTCATAAAAATGGTATACACTGACAACGAGCTCGAGTGAACCAGTTGTTGCCATTCCCCTAAATACCAAACGTTAAGCAGGGATTAACTACTACCACCTTCAAGGACAAAGATGACTACTGTGAAATTATTAATTTTTTTGGGGGGGGGGGGTTTAATTCCGTTGATTTCGTTGGTATACACTTCATCCACGAATTCACATCTCCACCAAGTAAGTACAAGTTTGCTATGAAGCGATTCTCCGT